AAGAATTTTGATGAACTTCAAAGTTTATTCAAAGAATTGTGTCATTTCTTCTACGGTTCAACGGAACAAGATTGACACACAATGGGTGACAATTACAGAGCACAACTTACTTTTATTCATATTATAAACCATAAAACTATGTTTGGTTCAAGGAATTTGAAAAGGAAAAGAAAAGAAAATGAAGTGGAAAACCGTAAACTTCTACCCATATCTAAAATGCCTAAAAATTACCACATGCACTTTTAGTGGGTAAAAATCATTTTAAAAGTTTTTTTTAGTATTCAAGATGATATAGAAATGTTTTATGGGACACACAAAAAATGAAACGTAACTTTTTATTTGGATGGAGCTCGAGGGAGTATCCTTATATATTGGTGATTTCTTGTTTTAAAAAAAGTGATGGAAAGGAGTATTATACCCTCACAAACACAAGTTATAAAACAAACAAATTAAATTGGCCATTTGTATATTTAAATTTCTACTTTTTAATCATGTAAAATCATTCTGTTTTTTTGGTGATATGCACAAATAAGAAAATTGTATAATTAATGATCTTTGTATTCCAGACTAACATTTCTCAGCATCATATATGAGTAACGTCGTATATTAACGTACAGTATATTTGGTGCATTATTTACAGCAAATATCCAAACTCCAAAATAAAAAAATGTACATGAATTTATAAATGAGACGAAAAGATAAAGTATGATTTGTTTTAGACAAGGAAAAAAATAGAAAATATTTACAAGACCAAAGAGAACTAATGTAAATAAATACTTCCTCTATCTCTAAAAGATTGACACACTTTAATTTTTTTAGTCAAACTATGGTACCCTTTAAATGCGAATTATAGGAAAGATATACTTAGTTATAATTTATATTTAGTAAAATTGGATTTATTTTAAAATATAATTTTGAAATATCAACTTTTAATAAAATTTAATTATTTTAAATTATATCTAAATCATGGTCAAAAAGTACCACGGTTTGACCAAAAAATTTAATTGTGACAATCTTTTAGGAACGAAGGGATCCGAATATATATATTTAAAAGGAAATCTAAAATGACACTAGTGTTATTGGTGTCATTTGCTTTCTGAGAAATGTTAGTCAAGGTAGGGAGGGGGGATGGGTGGGGGNACAAAATAGGAAGCTCGTGGGAAGGTCACTGTAGATAATGGAAGCACTGTACAATCATAGAATTTAGCAACTATAAGCCAAGACATGTACTGTTCAATCAAAGACTATAGATGGATATTCTCAATCCAATCAGCCCTGCAAAGTGACAAACATCCCTTTCACTGTTTGTCTCGTGATGGACGAACGGCGGGGTGGTCCCTCGATCTTTGACGTGGTTCACCATGCCTGAGATACTGGACCAATGTTTGTCAAGTAAGATGATATGACGGGTCACCTTTTTCTCAAAGGTTGACCGGTCATTTCTTGAGCTCAACCCGTCTCTTTGGTCTTCTTGAATTCTTCACAACATTAGGCGACATTTTGGCTATCGCCCAAAATGTGACCGGTCACTTTTTTAGTGGAAGTGACCGGTCAACTTTTGACCCGTCCCAATCGAAGAGTTAACCTCATTTGGTGATTGGTAAAAGTGACCGGTCATATTTTGACATGTCCCTTTCGGTTATCCGGGTTGGGTATAAGGATATACCCATCAATATATATATATATATATATATATATATATATATATATATATATATATATATATATTCTATCTAAATCAAATTTGATTTAGATGGAGAAAATATATACTCCGTATCTAACTAGTTCCACATAATCACAGATCATATTTTTTCCATATAATATTACTCCCATCGTCTCTTAAAGTTTTTTTTCTTATTGATTTTTTGAGAATTTAAGAAAGGAACATTCTAGTGTTGACTTTCCAAAAATACTCTTGATTAATGAATAAAAATATGATATAATAGATAGATTATTAGTAAACAAGAATATGATGTGATATGTGGGTAAAAATGACTCCCTCCGTCTTAAAACTATCTTCCCGTTTGTGTTTACGAGGTTTGACCGACTTTATTTTCAATTCAATTTATTTGATTGTACGTGTAAAATTAAAAAATAAAATTTACATATTTAAAAACTACATTAAAAGTTCTACAAAATAAGATGTGACAAGACTATATTATTGTATCAAATATGTAGCGAAAATAGGTAAAGAAAGTGATTTAAATTTGATCGTATGAATAATAACTGGGAAGATAATTTTAGGACGAAAAAAGTAATATGACTAGAAGTAATTTTTTAATAAAAAAAGTTTGGGAGACAAATAAAGTAAGAAAGAGCTTATGGTAAAACGGCTCGGTTCAGTGGCCACTGGGTTTCAGCGGCCACAGAAGCCACTGCCCCCCTACGGAGCTCCGTTCATAAAATTGATGATTCCTACTCCATAACCCCCCAGTAAACCTCCCGCCAAGTCCCGACCCCAAATCATCCCCCACTTACGTCAATTGCACCGCGTAAGTATAATTGACTTTAAAGTCAAATTTTTTGACTCCAAAGTCAACTAAACTTGAACCCCGCAATTGACGTGGTTAGGGGGATTAGTTGGGATCGGGACCGGGCGGAGGGTTTACCGGGGGGTTAGAGGGGGTAGGAACTATCAATTTTGCGAATGGAGCACTATAGGCATAGTTTTCAAAATCGGACCGGTGATCGAACCGGCCAAGGCACTGGTTCACTAGTCGAACCAGTGGTTCACACATATTTAAATTTTTTGAATTATATATATATATATATATATATATATATATATATATATATATATATATATATATATAGACACACAGATATACATATCTGTGTGTGTATATGTGTGTGTGTGAGAAATAATATGTAATTAAAATAATACTTCTTCTATCTATATATAAAGAACTTGAGTATTAGTATTGAATCTTTTTTTAGAAAAAGTAGTAGCATTAAATTGAAAAAAATTATATTCTATGCGTATTTATAAACATTAAAAGTTTATGAAACAAAAGTTGATTTTTTTGTTTAATAATTTACCGAGTATTTTCAAAAAATGCAAATGAGTTAATATTTTTGGGAAGATGGTGGATAACTTGGCTCATAAGTACATGGGGTCATGGGTTCGAATCCCACTAGCCAGAACTTTTGAAAATTTGGATGCAAAACAAAAAAAACGGTTCTTTGGTTTAACCTAGGGGTGGGCACGGGTCAGTCCGAGCCAAGATTTGTATAAACCAAACTCGGCTTGTTTTTATTAAGACGGTCTGGGCCGGAACGGGTTTTCAAAATTTTAAATTTGGAACCGGACCTAACTTGGCTTGTTTGAAACGGGCCGATTCCACGGGTCAACGGGTCCGAACCTATCATGATACTAACATTCTCCAAAACAAATAGAAATTATAGAATAATGCCTTCAAAGTTCAAAGGTAATTGGATGGTGTGAATAATTGCGCCACACGTCCACTGTCCAGTTCCTAGAGCTCGGGCACAAATATTAATATGAAGTACTTTGACATGTTTGGTACCAAGAGATAATATAAAGTCCACTGTCCAGTTCTTCACTCATTTCATAGAGTACTTTGACATGTTTGGTACCAAGAGATAAGAATTATTATGTTAAAAAAAAGTTATCAAAAGCTTTAAGTCATCCAATACAAAAAAGAGGAATAAATGAAAATAAAACAATGACAAATAGGCGGGTATACCGTATATCCTTATATTTACTAAAAATAATATTAAAAATAATATTGGTATTTAAAAAACGATCCGGTCTGAGTCCCAAAAAATTTCAAAATGGGAAACCAGACCGACCCTAAAATCTATCAAGACCGGACCGACCCGGACCGTTTTAAATTTTTGAAAAGACAACCCGGACCTAATTCGGACCGAACCTGGCGGTCTGGTTCCGACTCGCGATTCCTGGACCCGATTGCCCACCCCTAGTTTAACCGTCCGGGTCTTACCGGTTTGTTCCGGTTTGAGCCGGTTCGGTGCACCTAGCGGTCTTCAATGCTGGACCGGACCGGTTTGCCTACCAGTTCACCGGTTTCCGGTTAGAACCGGATGGTCCGATCCGGTTTTCAAAACTATGACTGTAGGTGTCCCAATTGGGTGAGTGGCTTCCGTAGCCACTCTTTTTGAGTGGCTCTAGAACCTAGCCAGTTATAAGGAGATTTGGGTTACTCACTTACTCATCCTTTTCATTTTTTCTCTCCAATCTCCATCCAAAGAATACCTGAATGACTTGATACCCAATCCATCTCAGAGCAGAAAGTCAAAATCCGCATCAACGCCCAAAGTGAAGGAACCGAGCAGTTGCACATTTCTGTCCTTCAAAGAATTTCAATATCGCGCGTATATAAATAGGGATGACAATTCTACCCGAATTTGACTTTTACCGACCCGACGGGAGCTTCTAATATCGGAATCCAAACCGAAAAATCAAATATCCGAAATCGACCCGAATTTTTTTTTAACCGAACCCGACTTTTATCGGGTCGGGTTTGGGTCAGTATATTTGACCGATTCGACCTGTACCCGATCCGACCCGACTTGTACCCGACTTTTAATAAGTTATTAAAACCCTAAATTCCTATATTCCATGTGTTTTTTATGTAAATGTTTTTAATGTTTTAAAACTTATTGCATTTTTGGGTTTCATTTTTTATTGTGGTTTAATCTTTTCTGTCATACATGTGTTATTTTCTTTTTACTCCGTATATTATTATTTGAAACTTATTGTTTCAAAAAAAATTATTTGAAACTTACTATTTATTTTTTTAAAGGTCAATTATTTTTGTTAATATCTTAAATTTATAGTCGTCTTTAAAATTTTAAATTTCTAATGTATTTCAATCATAAAATTTTCATGAATACTTTTATTAGTATCCAAACCCGAATTTGACCGTAACTTACCCGACCGAATATTAAACCGAAATATCTGAAAGGGATCTGCTAAAATCAAACTAGAATCCGACTGAGTCAAGTCTAGTTTCAGAATACTCAAACCCGACCAAACTCTAGCCTTTGCCATCCCCATGTATAAACCCGGTGCCGGTTCAGATGTTTTCACAGAATCACAGATCAGCTCATCTCTTTGAGTTTTGTGTTTGCAACTATTCTGAATTCAGAATTAGGTTTTGGAGTGCGGAAGTTACATCATGCAGAGTTTGGCGGCGGAGAGGAAAAGGGTGGTGGTTGTCGGCGGAGGGATTGGTGGCTCTCTTCTTGCACTTACCCTTCAGATCCATTGCGACTTTATCCTCATTGATTCGTAAGCTTACCCGGCCCCCTTCTTTATTAAGTTTTTTTTTAAAAATCAAATTAATCCGATTATGCAGAAATGAATTTTGTGTGGAAATGTGGATTTCGAATTACTTTTGTTGATCTAGGTTCATTTAGATTTAGGTTGCATATGTTAGTTTGTATTTTTATACTCAGTATTTGGTGAGATGACTTAACATGATCCTCGAGATAGCGATTCGTTCGAACAAACCAATCTTGATATATGTGTGCTTGTTTGTAAAGCTTTCCAGCATCAAATCACTTGTTTGGGTTTAGTATGAGGTTCATTCTAGAAGGCCAAACCAAATTCTTAGTTGGTTTTTATTGTTATACTTAACTTCACTCTATAGTCTATGTTCATTTTGAGGGTTTTTCCTTGGTTTTTTAACTGACTGGTTTTTCGCAATCAAATTCAAATTTCTGTGTAGGCTCATTGCTGTCAAACTTCTAATTCCTTTTTACATTGATTTTGTTTGTTTTCCTGTGTTATGTTGTTTTGGCTGAGTTCATCATATTGTAAAATGTGTACTACCACAGGAAAGAGTATTTTGTGGTTTCGTGGGCAAGCTTAAGGTGCATGGTTGAACCGTCTTTCGCAAAAGAATAGTGATTAACCACAATGAATACCTTCACAAAGCAAGTATCATTTTGCCTCCGGCTATTGACATCACACAGAGTGAAGTTTTGGCAGAACAAGGCGAGCAGATTGCGTATGATTACCTTGTTGCCACTGGTCATGTGGAGAATGGAAATTCCACAAAACAGGAATAGCTCAATTACTACCAAAACGGTAAGACCTTCGGTAACTTGTCATATGTATTATACTCACTTCGTACTTACGTAGTTGTTTATAAGTTGGGTTCGGATTTTCTTAAATCCGCAGGTACCCAATCAGCTGCTGTTCTTATTTAAGATTTATTCCTGAAATTTGGCCCATTGATGTATCTTTGTTCTTCTTGCCAGGGAATGAAAAAATCAGATCTGCTAATTCCGTATTGATAATTGGAGGGGGGACCAACGGGTGTAGAGCTGGCTGCTGAAATAGCCGTCGATTTTCCGGAAAAGAAGGTGACAATTGTGCACCGCGGATCAAGATTGATGGACTTTGTTGGAGAAAAGGCCAGCAAAAGGGCGCTTGATTGGCTGATTTCGAAGAAGGTTGAGGTCATCTTGCGCCAATCTGTTGACTTGGATTCAGCCTCAAATGGCGTGTATCAGTTATCTGGAGGAGAAACTGTACACGCTGATCTCCACTTTCTCTGTGCTGCTAAGCCCTTTGGGACGTCATGGCTAAGGGGTACCATTTTGAAGGATAGCTTGGATGAGGATGGAAAGGTGGCTGTTGATTCAAACTTGAGGGTCAAGGGTCACAATAATATCTTTGCCATTGGTGACATTGTTGATATCAAAGTAAGCCTATGCTGAATGAATCTGCTGGTTTCCATTCAAGCCTGGCAATGGATTTGAAAATTTTCCACTTTTTGCCCCACAACTATTGGTTTATTCCCCATTTTAGCACAAGACTTTCATTTTTCTCACTTTTGGATTTGAAAATTTTCCACTTTTTGCCCCACAACTATTGGTTTATTCCCCATTTTAGCACAAGACGTTCATTTTTCTCACTTTTGGTGCACAAGTATTGATCGTTTGTCAGTTACATGCCCCTTATCTGTCAAGCACTGTAATATCTTTGGTTGATAGTTGACCTAAACGGGACTGGAAAGGGCAAAAATATGTAGGTAGCCGTGCACTATTATTGACAACAACAATAAATCCTGCAAAATCCCCCAAAAGTATGGTCTTAGGAGGGTGTATGTATGGAGACATTACCTTACCTGAAAGTGAAGAGTTGGTTTCCAAGAAATTCCCGGGTCAGACACAAACTCACAAACTTGTGCACTGCAAGTGAAAGAAAAAAGAAGCAAAGAAAGCCATTTACCAAAAGTGGAAATGATTTGTATTCTATCAACACTGTGTTTGGTTTGGTGAAATATGATTTGTATTCTGTTAAGATGTGCTTACAATGTTCAGGAACTCAATCAAGGATGTATAGCTCAAAACCATGCACAGGTTGCAGACTTGCAGCTAAGAACTTGAAGTTATTGATAAGTGGAGCAAATGAGCAGAAACTCGCAAAGTATAAGCCCGGTTTAACAATGGCTATCTCTGGGGCGAAAGGATGCTGTGATGCAAGTTGGGCCTGTATCACTTTCTGGATGTCTTCCGGGCAAGATAAAGTCCGGGGATTTGTTTGTTGGCATGGCTTGTAACGCCACGACTCGATTATCCGAATTTATTCGTGTATTCGACTCGCAGTGTTAACGGGTCTAACTTTTTGAAAACGATAAATGGAGCATTAAACAAAACTTATTCATTTATTAATAATATCAGAGTAAACATTAAACATGTAGAAGCTTAAGACTTGATAACATAAATAAAGTATTATCACAACAGTAGTTTCCTTCTAGTTTTCTTTATTCTTATATCCTTTTCTTTGCCGGTAGGTATTCCCTGGGGATTTCCTGTTACGACGTTCCTTCCATAAAAGGATTTGAGGTCCTTTTTCGCTTCCCAAGGTAGGTATAGAACTCTATCTCCGAACTTTCCTCCAAATCTGAATCTGGACGGTTCACCGAAGGTTCTTCTGCTGGTACTGGTTCCGGTGATGGGCCTCTAGTTCCTTGAGTGGTTCTAGAGGTGGTGCCCATGGAATCCCATACCTTCAAGAGTTTGGAAGATGTGGGAACGAGCCTACGAGTGGGATCATCGTGAGCAATTGGAGGCTCTAGAACGATGGGCACCACTTCTAAAACCACTTAGAGAACTGGAGGCTCGAGGCTCCAGAACCAGTACCAGCAGAAGAACCTTCGGAGAACCGTCTAGATTCGGTTTTGGAGGAAATTTCGGAGATGGAGTTCTATACCTACCTCGGGAAGCGGAAAAGGACCTCAGATCCTTTTATGGAAGGAACGTCGAAACAGGAAATCCCCAGGGAATACCTACCGGCAAAGAAAAGGATATAAGAATAAAGAAAACTAGAAGGAAATTGTTGTTGTGATAATACTTTATTTATGTTATGAAGTCTTAAGCTTCTACATGTTTAATGTATACTCTGATATTATTAATAAATGAATAAGTTTTATTTAATGCTCCATTTATCGTTTTCAAAAAAGGTAGACCCGTTAACACTGCGAGTCGATTACACGAAAAAACTTGGCCTAAAATTGAACCTTTCTTAGCATTGCAAAATGGTGTTCTATGTATGTGTGCCCCTCTAATTCTTATACACTTGAGCTATGAGCTATGTCTTCCCTAGATCATTTCTTAGGGAGATGGTTTTTTTTACTTCTGGTTACTGCTGAATTTTACTGGTTTTGTTGTTATTGTTAAAAGTTTGTAGCATTTCTACATTTGTTTTGATGTATTTTGGGCGTGTACCATATGTATTTGTTCCTCTTGTACTTTTGAGTGTAAAAAATAAATGAAAGTTTGCTTCTCCTAATTTTCAACATTGTATAATCCAAGTTATATTCTCATGTTTTATACTCCTTCGGTCCCAAATTAAGTTGCATGTTTATTATTTACATGATCAAATTTTATACACATTATTTTCTTATTTTTGTTACTCATTTTATAAAATAATATAGTCATATGACTTCTTATTTTGTAGAACTGTTGATGTTTAGTTTTTTAATATGTAAAGTTTATTTTTTAACTATGTCCCAATTTTCTAATAAATTGTATTGAAAATAACTTCAATCAAACATCGTAAACCAAAATAGATGATTTAAAATGGGATGGAGAGAGTATTCTTTATGTACCATGTGTTTTACATGAGTGATGCTTACATAGTTCCAATGTCCATACAATGTAAACCTTCACATATTTTTCATGGATTTACATGTGGATTTTTTTTTGAAAATGTCTACTCTTATATTATAGATGCACTAAGATCCATATAATGAGTATGGATCTTAGATTCAAAGAAAAATTTATTGTTACTACATTATTGAAGTTGTCAATTTCTTTTATGAACATTCCAAAACAAAGTTATATCAATACCTCTTTTGCCTTAATTGGTAGTAAATTTAAGCCCGCCTAAAAAATCATAATATTGTGACGAGTATTAATTTAATTTGTTTTATTATTATTTCGGAGAAGGTCAATGTTAATTAATTATATTAGTATAAACTTTAAGAACAGTATTAAATGGAGAAGCTAAGGAACGCATAAGTAAAGGTTCCATCTCGTTGTCATAATTTTATCTCATAATTTAACTCTTTTTAATTTTGCAATTTTAGTTCTGCGCGATTTAAAAATGTCTAAAAAACTAATGCATTGTAAACTTTTATTGTTTTGCAAATTCACTTTGCATGATTTTAAAATTTTGATGAACTTCAAAATTTATTCAAAAAATTTAATTAAGAATCACACATAATCAAATATTTAGAACCTAACACTAGTACAAAAGAAAACTACTTTTAAGTTATAGAGTACTCCATATATTAAGAAATTTGAATATTTCACCAAAGAATAAAACACATCATAATAATTTTCAAAATCTGATTTTCACATGGTGTCACATTCACTAATCATGGGGAAAGACATAATTGTTTTCACAAGGATGTTTCCTTGATTAGTGGGAGTTTGTTCTTTATCTTATATAGATAATTGTTTTCAAAAGCATAGTTTGAAATATGTATTCTTTAACTTATAAACGATCATATACCGGATGTAGAATAAAATGGTACATCCAAAATGTATAATTTAGAAACTCCTGGGCAAACTCAACTAGTTAATGAGCATATTTCAAGAACTTAATGCCTGATTTTATCATTTCATGGGAATGTAGTTACTAGAAAGTGTTAACATCATCATCATCATCATAGATGGAGTGTGTTATGTGACATTCATCCAAGTTGAAAATGGAAAAAATGTCTCTCCAATTGGACCACACAACACCCCATTCCCAGAAGCAAAACAAAGAGAGCTTACAATTTAGCAGGAGTGTGACTGGGAGGAAGAGGGGTGATCTGGTGCCATTCTTGTTCTGGTCTTTGGCACTTGTTTAGTTGAGATTTAGTCTTCCAAAGTCTAGCATTTGCCATGTACCCATTGAACCCGTAGATGATCTGAGCTTATCCCGTGGTTTCGGTCTCTCCAATTCTTTCCTCAGCGAATGATACTCAGCTGCATGTACAGAGAGAATTGTGTCATTTCTTCTACGTTCAACGGAACAAGATTGACAGACAATGGGTGACAATTACAGAGCTCAACTTACTTTTCTTCATATTATAAACCATAAAGGATTCAGTTGGAACTCGGAAGATGCTAGGGAATGAAAATAGAGAGGACAATCCCGAAGGAAAGAAAACGTATGGGAAACTAAAACATCAGTTCAAACTAAATACCCGGAGTATTTCTTTTATTGGATTTAGTTCAAGAATGGGGTTCTTTTGACACCACTCATGGGTGTCATATCATGGGTATCATAATATGATACCTGATCCATTTGAGGTCCTACGGTGATCCATTTGACTTCGGGGTCGAAGTGTAGAGCCGACTTCGGGGTCGAACAGATCAGTATAGCTCAAAAGAACCGTCAAATAGATCAGTATCATATTATGTCACCGACCCTTGGTGTCAAAAGAACCGACTGTTAGTTCAAATTCATATCATATAGCTATTTCTATCAAAGAATATGATATTCAAACATATGTAGACGTTTTTAAAGGGGTCAATATAAGTTGGGATTATAGTGGGTTTGTCGGTTGACCCTTGCCCCCCTTTAGAAATTCATATTTCATTTTCGAGTCAAAACCTAACACAAGAAAATAACTTGTTAGCATTTTTCCGCATTTTGGTGGCATTTAACGGGACCCAACATGCCAAAAAGGGAAATAAAGCACGTACTTACCATCAACAATCAATTTTTCTTGTTGAAGCCTGGTTATCTTTTGCTTCAGCTCATTGTTCTCAAAAGACAAAGCACTATGTTGCTGAAGAAGAGATGCAACTTTAGCAGCTAACTCTGATCTAACACCCTGCATAAGGAATGTTCTCACCACTTCAGCATTGTAATGAATTGCATAATCCAATTGATGTTAAGCGCGGAAGGATTTCTTTGTTATTATGAAATACCCTTCATAAAATAGCACATGCAGTGCTCATTCGTTTGGTAATGCACCAACTTTTGGCTCATCATCAATACCATCAACTAAACGCAAACTCATTTTTATTAAATGAATAGGCTGACTGGAAAATTAAGTAAATTATTTTTGACGGAATGGCTAAAATGAGGGTAAATGACTTCCCTACCCTCATCATTTAGATACCATTTCATTTAGTTGCATAAAAAATACGGAGTACAATTTAAATGCATTTTTTGAGAATTCCAACGCTTATCAAAAGAAAAAGCAAAACCACCTCTAACTTCAACATAATCAATACCAAACGAGTTATAGAAAAGAGAGGATTTTTAGTTAACTGTGATAAAAAGGACAAGCCAGGGCACAAAGCGTTCTCACTTGGTGAAACTCTGGGAAAGGGTCCCACGAAAAGGATGTGATGTGTTGCATTTTTGCAATGCTACTTTCAAGACTCAAGACCAAGGTCACATGGAAACACTTCAAAATACACAAATAAATAATATAGGATGGCAGCAATTTGTTGAACAGGTTTTGCATAAAGAATACCTGTAAAGTGTCGACTGTTCTTTCTAGTTCAGCAATGTATTGAAGCTTACGGACCCTCGACCTCTGCCCAGGGTGCCTGCATGTAAAATTAGTGTATGGTCATATTTCTAACTTTTCACACCAAAAGAATAGTATGGGCCTAATTGTAGCGACTAATCACTCCTATAAGTTTCAAGCGTGAAAATAGCACACAAATTTTTAGATTGTAACAACTTTGCTGACCAAAGAAGATAAGGTACCAGGCACTTAACAATTTGCATTGAAACTATTGACTAAGAAAAGCCGTGATTAAAGAAATGAGATATAGAGGGACATTAGTTAACACCACTACCAAAGAATATTAAGGTTCATGTCCATCTCATTATCTCTAAACATTCATCAATGTGCACGATACACCTTAATGGCATATTTTTGTTTCGAGAGAAACAAAGAGGAGAGATGTTAGAATGAAAAAAGAAAGGATAAATGCTATTTTTCTCTTGTTTGCTTAAAAGGGAATATGGTAGAAAGATTTAAATATGTGGAGTCCACCGCTTTTTGCACTCTCCTCTCCCTGTTATGGGAAGAAAGTATGTAAAGGATATTCTTGTTAGTTGACAAGTAGTAAAAACTTATTACTTGGGTATACAAAAACTGAAAAACATGTCTTTCTTTCCAAGGTCTCTCCCACAACAACAACAAATCCAGTAAAATCCCACAAAAAGTATGGTCTGTGGAGGGTGTGAACACAAACTTTACCCTAACTCAAAAGTAGAGAGCTTGTTTCCAAGGTCTCTCACTCTCTCCAACAAAACAATACAAATAATCCACTTTATTTCTCAACTATATCTTTCTTCCTTCTCTTCATCATATCTTTCTCGCTTTGCAATTTCTCTCATTAACAACAAAACAAACCATATTTTTCTCTGTTAAAATGTTTGTGGCTGAAGTAAAAAACCCAAACTGCAAGCTAGCAATCAGTCCATTAATGAAATGAGATTTGACATCACCTGATCACTCATAAGAAATTACTTACATTGCTGAAGAGTAGCTAATGCATTTCAAAACTTTTTATAAAAGATGAGAGAAATTTTAGATAATGAAGAGCACATCAGTGTACCATCAATTACAAGAGGTTGATTTTTTTTTAGATTGTGGTCATGTACCATGATGTGTATGTTGATATTTGTGATAGAATCAAACAATTATCTCAACGCTTTGCAGGGACTACGGAGGGACAAAAGATTTGCCTATAACAATTGTGCCACATCAAGAAAGAATATTAAGCTCATTCCTATACGCTGCCATTATGAATGGGTTAAACGTAAATATCCAATATGGATGCTATAGTGCATGTTGATTGGAGATGATGTCGTGATAGCAGATAAATAAAAGGAAGAACTAACCGATAATATGAAAACAAAGAGTATCATGGCACAAAGTTTATTTGAAGTATTCCCTCCAATTCATAAGTGCTCTCACATGGCACAAAGTTTAAGAGTGTGAGTTTATGTGTGTCCTTTTTTTGAGGTAGTTTTGTTAAGAGACACTTTTAGGTGGATGGGTACAGAAAAACAAGGAAAAACAGTGGGTGAATGAAGTATATTAACAAGTGGTCCTTTCAAAAATAAGAAACTCCCTCCGTCCCAAAAAGCTCTTTATGTTTGACTTTTTTACAGTATACTTAGTTATAATATAAATCTAA